TACCACGGCGGTGGAGGTGATGAGGCGGGTCTGCGTCTGCGTCACCACCTGGGTGCTCGTCACGTACTGTACCTGCTGGCTGGTCTGCTGGACCACGCGCGTGCTGATGCGGGGCACGGTGACCACACGCGTGGTGAACACCACCTGGGTGGAGAGGACCTCCCGCGTCTGCGTGACGGTGGGGCCGGGCACCTGGCGGGTCTCGGTGCGCGTCACGTACTCGATCTTGGTCTGGATGCGGGTCTGTGGCGGCGGCTGGTAGGTGCTGACGCGGGTCTGCACCACCTGCCTGGTCTGCGTGTTAATGACGGTGCGGCCCGGCACCTGCACCGTGCGCGTGACGTACACCACCTGCGGCACCGTCTGCGTCTGCGTCTGGGTGATGGTCTGGACGACGCGGCTGATCTGGGTCTGCACGCGCACGACGGTCGTAGTGCGGGTCTGCACCCGCTGCTGGGTAACTGTGCTGACCACCGTCTGCAGACGCTCCGAGGTGACGGTGCGGGTCTGGCCCGGCTGGCTAACGGTGCGCGTCACCGCCTGGGTGATCACGTTCGTCCTGATGCGCGTCTGGACCACAAGTGACGTCACCTGGGACACCCGGGTGCTGACGATGGTGCTCGGCACCACGCTGGTGACGACGTTCGTCTTCGTGACGTACTGCGGCACCGTCGACACAACCGTGCGCGTGATGGTGTTGGTGACGACGCGCGTCTGCGTGCGGTAGACGACAGTCTTGGACTCGCATGGCGCTGTTACGGTCGTTGGGTTAATGGGCGTCGGCGGCGGCAGGTATCCGTCAGCGAGCTGCAGGTTGCTGGCGAAGCCGGAGCCCTGGTTTTGGGCCGCAGCCGCAGCGAACAACAGGAAGGAAACCAGAATCCGCCACATTCTGGAACAGAGAGGAGGTACATGGGGATCAGTGATTGGACCTTATGGCTGTGACTCAAGCTTAGCAAGGCGTGGGCAGTGGGCAATAAAGTCCAATCACTTCTCACCGGCATGTACCTCTCTCTTTCCCAGCTGCGAATGGTTGCGGGTATATGTCGGTAAGCCAGGCATGAGATTGGATGGACTTTACTGCCCACGGCGATGTCCGAGACGGCGGGGAGCGGCTAAGCGGTGCTCGTCCCCCTTCTCGGCACCAGCCTCGGCGCCGCCGCGCCACAAACGTCGGCTGGGGGCCGCGCGCCAAACAGGCCGCACCGACCGCACCGGGTCACAACATCCGTTGGCCAACGTCGGAAAGTGAAATGCAGCGCAAAAAGCTGCGGCCAGGCGCAGCGCGTCGCGTGGCTTGTGTGCAACAACAATGGAGGCGACCCGCGTTGCCTGGCCCTCTCTCTCTCCCGGGGTGAGAGATTGCACACGGCGCCAAGCACGCAAAAAGGCTGGCATCTCGCCTGGGCATGGGTGGCAGGGAACGCCGCTGCCGTCACATCCGCCGATGATCAGGCATGTGCACGGCCCACTTTAAAGGGGGAGGGGGATTGTAACTGGACCACAGACTAGGAGGCCTCCGAATACATTGAGGGCCTCACTGACCTCACGGCGCCTGCGAGCGAATCCTTGGCGACGTTTGAATGCCAGCCAATGACCACCACTAGATATTCTAGAGCGCGCTCGCTGCCCTGGTGGACCAATGAGCATTCATAATTAAAACCTGGCGCAGGCGCACCAGACTGCCGCGGTGAGCCACCATGAACGGGGATGTTGCAAATAAGCCAGCGTTCATGCCAAAGTGGAAAAAAACCCTGAACGAGAACGTCACCTGATGTTCGGACTCGCAAATGCTGACTGAGATCACTCAAATGATCGGTATATGATGTCAGCTGAGGGGCTCCTAACAGTCCTAATGGCTAACCTAAGAACGTGATGACTAAATGAGTTATACATAACCTGCCCCGACCAATGCCGTCTACCTTTCTTTTATCATGCTCCAGAAAGATGAGTTCAACGGGTAGCTTAGTTGTGGCTGCAAATATACGATAAATTGGTGCTAATGCTCTTAAATTTCCGATCGGCGGTTCTCAAGCAAAATTAAGTGACAATGTCATAAAGCTGGTTATCGCTCCCTATCATCAAAAATGAAACGGAGATAACAGTTCTTCTGGTTTAAAATTAAATCAAACTGTTTTTGGGTAAACAAGGTGAAAGAAAGACAAGTATCGATCGCGCAAATCAGGGTAATCAAGAAATAATCTATGGTTACATATAGGCCTACGATTTTGAAACGGCACTCAAAAAGCATTTGCATGTGGCAACAAACTTAAAACCAGATGTTCACCACTTCTAAATGAGCAGGCTTGATGAATTGGAAGTTATAAGCATCGGCTCGAGGCCCATGCCAATTTGTACACTTCTCGGCGGTGCTCCGGTCGACACAGGCTGCCCCGAGCACGGGTCATCGGAGCACTGGAGCACGGAACACCGGAGCAGCGGAGCACGGAGCACGAGGCCGGAGCCCGGATCGCCTCCGGTGTCCTCAGCTGAGTCCGAGTGTCGGCTCTGGCGGCGCCGCCGGCTCCCTGATCACCGTCACCGCCATCACCACGAGCACACACAGCCAGCAGCGCGGACTCACCTAAGGTTCGCTTGGGTCCACACTGAGTAGATGGCGACTACCCGAATGTGAGGATTCACCGCTGGGCGGGCGGTTTTATACCAGCCGGGTCAGCGTCGCGCCGCGAGAGGGGGCGGAGGAGGAGGGGGCCGGGCTTCAGCCCTCCAGCTCGTGAAGATCAGCAGCTGACCTTGCCTGGCCGGAGAGAAAGTGCCGGGATTCCAGCGGATGACCGGTGCAGGAGTCGGCACCGCGCTGCTGCCACCTGGCGCCATCCGCAGCTCCGGTCGTGACCTTCGTGGAGCACGTGCGAAGAGCTGCGCCGCCCGCGCAGCCGCGCGTCGCCGCCGCTGAGGTGTGGATGGTGACGCCGTACATCGCACATCGCCGGAGCGGCGCCGCTGACTCCGTGCACGAGCGGCGGCGGAGCGTGGCCTCAACGCGAGCGGTGATCGGTGCGAGCGGTGTGCTCCTGTTTGTGCGAGCGGTAGTCCGTCGCCGTGCGGTGACATATTTGTTGGCTGTTTGTGTTTGTAGGCGCTGGTATCTGTTCGTGATGTCTGAAAGGTTATTGCTGTCCGGTCTTTGCGGAGTTGAGAGCTTCTGCTCATTGTCTCTTTTCCAGGCATCCTGTCGAGATGTGAAACCTCATTGCTGCATAACAGGAGATAGGGTAGTATCATTTTTCATCATAAGTATTTAAAGTTCCATTCCCCATTGTTCAGAGCTTTTAGCTATTGCTTGCTTGCTGTTCACGAATGCAGTGTTTTGATGTTTGCCACTCTATAGTGTCTTTAAAAATGCTTTCAAGTTACCCTCACCATCTTCACTGAGCTGGAAACATGTGTCACATTGTTCAAAATCAAGGTCAGTGCAACCGTTCCGGCCCGTTTTCATCAACAATGGCACCGCAATATAGGGCAGTTCACTTCCGCCTGTCATAAGCCTGGTTTTCGCACGGATCCTTGAGCCTTTGCACTCAAAAGGATTGTAACAATTGCGTTGTAAAACGGAGATGATTATGTGACATATACCTATTCTTCTCGATGGTAATGAGGGTAAAGTTGCACGTCTTTGTTCGTCAGCTATCCAAGTAGCTTCCGCCGTGAAGGTGGCATTGCAAGCAATTCGGATTTGTTGTGTGCGCGTTTTAAGTTTCTTTTCGTAAGTTTCTCAAGGGATGTCTGTTACGGTTGTCGCAGCGAAGTTTGCAATGTCAATACGTGTTCCTTGGACATTTTTGGTATGATTATAACACAGTCTGATTTTGCTACCGCAAAATAACTACCACTTAACTGTTGGGGCTTTCCGCTGAGGGGACACGGGCACACATTTTGTTCGTTGTGAGTGTAGGTTATTTTATGTGCATGTCAGTCATGTTCTCACATAGACATCAGTTATCATAGTGTTCACAGTGTTCCATCCTAATGTCTCATATGTTGTTAGTAATACAATATTACAATGAAGCTTGTTTTTATCACGCGTATCATGATGCTGGGCATTTGAACCGAAAAGCAACATGATAGGCTAACGTTCTGGAATGTCCGCTAGTTTTTTAACTTATTTTTCCCCGCTGAATTTTTCAGACCCCGTTGTCTTCAGACCACCTGGTCTAGGATGTCATCTGTCCATGCATCCGCCTTCCCCTCGATTTCTGCATCTGGCACGCCAACGTGCTCAGGACTTTGGGCAGACAGTAACCCATCAGTTGACCGTTGCCACTCGGTAAAGTTGCTGCTAAAGGCTTCAGTATTTTGCAGCAAAGCTTGCTTTATAGGCTAGCCCCAGTACAGAACAGTCCTTATCCGTTTTGAGAGCGACGAACTTCCACACTTTGTGGCTTCAAATGACGTATGGAAAACAACATTTGTATGTGTTGTCTTCTGTTTGGTGGAACGCCTTTTGTCCCATTTTATGTGATTCGTTTATTGATAGCCTCACGCCTCATCTAACAAAAATTTGTTTTGGTATTGCCTCATGACACCGTTTTAAGTTACATGATGTCAAGGCCTAAGGTAAAATCACCTGGCATCACGTAACAACTACACTTATTCAAAATTGTGCGCTTAGAAGCACGCTCATCTATCGTTTTGGAACTCGGCCACGGTAAATGAAGTACTTAAATGTCATGCGCCTTCCCATACGTTATTCATATAAAGCTCTGAATGACGGAATTCTGTCACCTTTCCGAACAACAGGCTGCCATCGTGGTTTTGAAAGTAACACAAGAGACACTGTCACGAAAATTGAAAATACACCCACATATGATCCAAGATAGCTGTTATTCAGCAAAGGCACACCTTTCATTGATTCCGCTCTGTCGCAAGGTACGTCGATAGGAACTCCTAATCCAGGTTATTCAGGAGGCAAATGCTATAGCTTTGGTAGTTTTCAATGAATCGAAATCCGAGCGGCCGGCTAAAGAATCCACCCCACACCATCACATATCTACCGTAACATTCTGAAATGACCTATTCCCAGGAGGACAAATTACACGCTCATTTATACGATCCAACGGGAGCTATGAAGCGTGCTATACTAGTTTGCAATATGCGAGTGTCACCAGGACATCGATCAGTTTCACTCACGGCAGTCCCTGACCACCGTCGCAAATTATGAGTGCATGAAGGGCGGCGCCATTATTGGGTTGAGGGTTTCTAATGGGGAAGTCGCATGCGCTGTTGAATGAATCGGTGTGAGACGTGACCGACCGCAAGCAAATTAGTTTATACCACGGATGGACTTTTTGACGCATCACTTGTGTCAATGAATCTTCCATGATAGCTCTCTCTCAGTCGTATAGCTGTGATTCAGCACGAACTGAATATTGCTCGGATGGTCATTTACAGAGTTGATTTGGAGCTCGTTTGTTGATGTTAGATCTTTTTAAACAATATAGCCCTCAGTGATTTGACCTCAGTATGATTTATTGCCACTGATAACCCAGACCACTTCTAAGCCGTTGTATGTGCTGTCATGACGTCTCTGCAACAATTGTATGCATCGCTTGAGACAAGCTCCGCAGTGATCTTACCAAATACGCACGCTTACATAGCGTTATCCTGGGGATGTCTTAGCAAAGTTTCAATTGATAGTGCTCGGGCAGACATGATATGCAATGCGGAGTTATTCAACCACGTCCACGTAGAAATGCACGATAGTTTTGACAGGGGACCACAAATTTGCTGAATCAAGTATGGCTGTGTCCAAGGACTGCGACTGGCCAAAGGCATTCATGCAGTCGAAGTCCAACACGAAAGACTGCAAAGAAATCAATGTTCATACAGCACATGCAACGCGCACCTCCGAAGAAGCTAATCGCGCATGCGCTTTCACAAGCACTCTGTGGAATCAGCATACGTGGCGCACCGTACTGCGTGCCATCGGCTGCCATCGCGTCACCGGCTGGAGGCCAGTGGGAGGCCGCGCGGCCGCCCCCCCCCCCCCCCCCCCCATGGTCATTTTATCTCATTCCAGCTCCGTGATGGCCTGCCAAGCGTGGGTGAGTCTGGCCATCGCCTGCGTCTCCCGTGATCGACGCCTGCCGTCAGCGTCGATCCTTGACCGGGCCGACCGTTTGGCGGCATCGGCGCGCCACTGTTTGCACGAGCCTTTAGCGCCGACTCGTGATGTTTGCGCTCACGCAGATGGCGCGGCAGCACGCGAAGAGACTTCTCGTCCTGCATCCCGAGCTGTGTGCCGGCACGTGGCTACTGGACGTGGGCTCATGAGCTCGCAGCGGCGGCGCGCAGCACCGGATCAGCACCGGACGAATGCACCTGATCGCTAGATCGGCACACTCGGAGGACCGTGTCAGCCATCCAGCTAGTGGCGGTCGGCCGGGCGGCGGCGGCGACTCATTTTCTCGGCGGCAACGAGCTCGAGACTGCGCGGCGAAGGGAGGTGAGGCGGCCGCCTGGAAAACCCCGCCGCTCTCTTGGGGCGAAGCGTGACGCCCGCACTGACCTGACGCCAGTGTAAGACCTGATGACCTGATGGCCTGATGATGACCTGACGTACCGCGGTGTCATCCCGAGCGCCGTCAGGGAATCGGGCTGGGCCGGCACTGCTGCGCCCAGCCGGAGGATCGGCCGACGGCACTAGGCAGGCGTTGCGTACGACCGTTGTACGCACGTGGGAACAGCGTCCTCGCACAGCGCACCCGACCCGTTGCCTCAGACCCTGCTGAGAGCCCGTGGCCGTTCTCACAATTACCGGTGGCGTCTTATCCGCACGCGATCGGCCTCGGTGCTGTGTGGGGACGACACGCCGCGTGGTCACGGCGTCCGGCTCTTTGTCGGCACGTGCGTGCCCGGCCAGCGACCGCGGGAGCGGTGGACGGCATGACAGTTGTCCATCGGTAGTGTCTGTCGTATGCAAACTGCCCGGTCGCTGAGCGGATCTGGGAGCGTGCCTCGCGGGACCGACGCCTGCTGTGCGAGGCTTGGAATGTGCGCTACGCTCGGTGTGCATTCCATTTTGTGCACGCTCCGCTCCAGCGCGTAGTCTGGGTCCTGTTGCTGATTGTTTCCGCAAAACCCTCATCGGACCCCTGCACTTGGCCTCCTTTGACCTCTGCAAGCAGATCTTCTGGTTTGCCAATGGTCATTTAAGATGACATTTTTATCAAGCTGTACATCTGCATATAGATTAACTATCATATCTATTTGAATTCAGAGAGACATGTGTCAATGTAACGATAAGATAAGTGTGTGTGTGTGTGTGTGTGTGTGTGTGTGTGTGTGTGTGTGTGTGTGTGTGTGTGTGTGTGTGTGTGTGTGTGTGTGTGTGTGTGTGTGTGTGTGTGTGTGTGTGTGTGTGTGTGTGTGTGTGTGTGTGGCCTGTTTAGCGACATCAGCAACCAGTGGAAGCGGAACCTCATTCGAGTCGGGGGCAAAGTCAATTGCTAAATTGCTAAGTCGGGTTTTTCATGCAGCACGGTACCATTGATGCTAATTTTCTTCCCAGAGCTGTGAGGCTGGGAGGCTGTTTCTGTTTCTTCCCAGACCTGTTCCCAGACTTCCTCTGTCCCATTACCCACCACCCGGCTTTGGATAAGCCAGTGACCTCTTATCGTAACGGGGTTATGGTGAGAAAATACCAAAGCTAAGCAGAACGATCAGCAACAT